GCCAAATTTCTGGATCAATGGGGAGCTTTATTTCACACACACATGCACCCCAGTCTTCCCCGACTGGTTTTGTGGGGGGGAAGGCGCATGTTTTATACTAGATAATACAATATATCTAATACAAGCATCATTGTAGTATTTAGGTGTCATGAAATAATTGAAATGTCATCATTAGAAAATGTCTTATTAATTAAATGTTTCATGTTTGCTATTATCTGTGCAAAACGATTGTATCACAAATAGTTAAAGGGATTTGAGTGGCAGGAAGAAGGAGAGGAATTGGTTATACTTTGGCTTCTTATATTTCACTGCACTGCAGGAATATAATTAGAGGGTCTTAGCCCCATGTGCAAGGAAATAAGTGTATACATTCTACTAAAGTGTGGCTGTGCTCTGAAAAGGGACTCTGTAAAAACATTGTATTCTTTCCATATTTTCTCTGTCAATGGCTGTATTGATTTGGCTCCATTTAGAAGTCAAAGATGATTTTTCTTACTGTCACCCCTGCAAACTGAGCCAGTGTTCTTTCCAACAGCATTATCAGTAATAAAGATCTTGCAGCAAGTATTTAGCTGACAGCAGTATTGCTGATGCATAGGGCAGAATGCAGTCTAGCTTGTTCTCTGTCACTTGTATACTGATGGGGTGTGTGCGTGCTTGTGCAAGAAATTGAAAATGCATTTTTGTTTGGAAAGCAAGCAGTGTAACTGTGAATAAAATGGAGCCTAGCATTGTCCGATGAAGAGCAAATGACAAGAGTACTTGGGACTTGCGGGAGAAGTCTATATCTCCTCTGGCCAGTAGCTTCGGTTCTGCCACACACTGGTTGCAGAAAAATGTGTAGCCCCTTTTCCAGCCTGTCCCAGGGGATGTTCTCCACCCTGGATAGCCTCCTGAGTGTGGTGCCAAGTGTACCCAGCACCACTGTATCAATGATCACAGATCTTTTAAGAGTGTGTGGCATGTATGGAGTGCTATCTACTGGGCAGGGCTTATGTCTCAGAAGTGGTCTCATGTAGCAATCAATTTGATTCAGTATTTGACCTTGGGTATCTTATATACTAATTGTGCCTCAGTGTCTCTTTTACAAAATGTTTGTCCATCTCTGTAAGGTGATCTGAGATCCATGGAAGACCAGCACTGTTTAAGAGCCAAATGTTTGTTAGCCTCAAGCACCAATAAGAGATTGATTCTATTAATTGCTTGTTATGTGCTTAGACAAGTGATTCTCAACCAGCATGCCATGGTGCCCTGGGGTACCTGGAGATCCCTCCAAGGGTGCCATAGTATGTCATACAATGTCATGCACTGTTAGGTGTCCAAACTTGATTCACAAGATAAATCTGACTTATTGCAGTGTTTCTGAGTTCTTTGATACAGAAGAATTTGTTTTTTGTTGGGTTTATTTTTGTAGTAAAAAACGAGTGAAACTAACAGCTGGCATTTTCCAAGAGGTGCCTTGAGTCTAATAAGGGGTGCCTTGAGTTTAAAAAGGTTTAGAACCACTGGCTTAAGCATTTTCAGAGTGCTTGTGACATGCCATAAGAAAGTTTTAGGAAATTTAATTTAATTTTTTTTTAAACTCTTTGACTATATGGTTTCTTTCCACTAGAAGCAGTAATGGAGTTGAAACCACGGACTTCTAGCCACTGATGGCATTTAAACAAAACATACAGTCAACTAGTGAAAGCTGCCTTCTAAGCTCCACAGTTTTCCTTTTAATTTGGAACATAAACATTTGAAAGTCAAGTATAGTAATTTGATTTCAGAGAAAAGCTGCTTGAAACAAGCATAAGCCTGAGTTAATAGGAGCCATATGTTGGATCTTTTATGTAAGTGTTGTGGTCTTCAAAAATGTTTTAGAAAAGAATATTTGATTTTTATTTATTTATTTTTTTTTTTAGAACAGATCTTTCTTGAAGAGATTGTAGCAAACCTTCCTTTCAAAAGTCTGCAGAGTATTTATGTATATAATTGATGTTAATATAGTAAATTAAATTGTAAACACAAGATATTTTCTGTTGCTGTGCATCAAAGAAGTTGTTCACTTTAACTATAACCACAGAGTACTTGTAATTTCCCTGGGCCCAAGGGTATTTAAGATAAAACTTGGCAAATTAGTACCTCCATAAGTAAGGGGCTCTTTATGACTGTCTGTCACTAGGTCTACTGTAATTTTTACAGGTATGCTGGGCCCTTTTTTTCAGATGAGATTCCAAATTACCTACAATGGATGGCCTATTGGCACCTGTAAGTTGAGCTATAGAATTAACTCTGGCAGCAGTGAAAATAAATGAGGATTTTTGTGTTTCATGAGCAAAGTCAAGCACTTCCCAAAGGAATTAGCATGCAGTGAATGATGATAGCCTTACAAAACAGAAGGGAATCGTTTCAATCCCAACAATATCAGCCATTTCTAATAAATATACTCAGATTTTTAAAGCAAATAATTACGTCATTGCCAAATATATTGAATCAGTATATACAGTATTTTATACTGATTATATTACAACACTAACGTGCATCTTATGTAACTGATACAGAAAGTTGCATAATTGAATTGTGTGAAGTATAAGTACTAGGAAATCCATCTGAAAATGTTAACTGGTGCCTACTGGTTTGCTGATGACAAACTCATTTTGCAGATATGTCAATTTTGATTAAGTGCACAACATTAGCACACACTTGTTCATAACTTTTCCATGCTTTTGCAGAGGGGTAATTTGAAAATCAAGGTCTACAGGGTCTTATGTATATTATGCATATGTTACAAAATAGTTTCTCATAGTTTCTGAAGTTTCTAAAATCCAAGTAAGCCTTATTGCACATTAACATTAATATGCAGTCAAAATTCACAATATTTTGAATTCATTCTCTTCTGTCACAAGACTAATGAATGAGACTTTTAAATATTGAATTAAATCCTGATGATCACTCAGGTTAAGCAACCCTTTGAAAAGAAAGAGTTCATTTTCCAGTTTTTTCATGTGGGGGAGTGTGTATGTGCACATACTAATTGTGATACTTTTCAGGTATGAAACCAACTATTAGGGAAGCTCCTTCCCTTTCTGTATCAAAATATCATTTTTGCAGTTAGTTGAATACCACTTGCATCATTTGATATGTATGATGGTATCATTTGTATATGAACAGATTGTGCTTTAAGGACTTTTATATAATTACTGTTTTACATGTGCAGCAAGGGTTTCTGCAGTTATAGTTATGCATGCCATTTTGTGAGTCCATGTATTGGATCCTTCCAGAAATGCATAGTGTCAGTATTCTATGAAAAAGTATTCTCCCTTCCATTTTGCTAATAAGTTGTTAAACACCTTCTTTGGAAAGTTTGGCATGAGTAGTACAAAAACTACATAGCATACACCTTCTCATGGATATATTTCTCCATCTTGTTCAGTGAGCAGTGTTTATGTGACACATTTCATGGATTCTCATCTTTCTTTCTACAGGTGATGTATCACCTATCAGTATGTCTCCCATCAGTCAATCCCAGTTTATTCCACTTGGAGAAATCCTTTGCTTGGCCATCTCAGCAATGAACTCTGCACGAAAACAAGTCACACAAGAAGCACTAATGGAGCATCTAACAACTTGCTTCCCAGGTAGCTACTGTATCACTCAATTGTATGAACCTACATTTTAAAAAAGCATGTCAAAAATTTTCTCCTAAAAGGGTGGTCTTAGTCTCTTTGCTTCACTGTTGTAAATGGGACCTTCAGTTCATCTTGATCTTCTAAGTTAGGGCTGTCCAGCTTTTGGAATGGCCAGGGGCTGTACCCACATGGGTTGCAGGTCCCCCAGACTGCACACTGTATAGCCTCTTCCTCTAACCCTGTGCAGATGCCCTGGGTGCCCCCAAACCATGAACATCTTGTGCCCTATGGGCTGTACTGCCCTGTCCCCAAGGGCAGGGTCAGGAAGTAGAAGCTGGAGGAGGGGTGGGCGGCCTGGAGGCCCTGGCAGCAGCTGGAACAGTGTGGAGAGTGGCACCTGGGTGGAAGCCTGCAGGTGCCAAATTAACTCTTTGCAGGCTGTGAAGTGGACAGTCTTGTTTTAAGACCATGAAGCCTGCATCTGCAAGCTTTAGTATGAGTCCTCCTTACACAGGCAGTCATTTTCACTGACAGGGCTGCTCACATAGATAACTCTTACAGGGCCAATTCCTAATTGCTTGAAGAATTGTATTGAAGTTGTATAATATTTGCTAAGCCATATAATATTACAGTGTATTTCTTTTTCTATATTTGATTGATTTCAAAATATGCTTGTCTGTGATATTTCTCATGAAATAACCTTAAAACCCTGTCACATCAAACTTTAAAGCACTTAAGAATGCTGTCTCAGTTCCTTGAGTATGCTGGCATAGAGTGCATAGGGTACATCACAGATCAGTGTAAACTTTTTCAGTGCGATAGATTCCATCTTCAGCTGGCCTAGAAAGAATGTTGTTTTCTTTCACTTAGGCCACAAATAGTTGCCCCACTGCTCATGGCCAAAAAGCTCTTTGTCTCCTTTTAGAGCTGACACTTTCCTTTGACCACCCACGGGCAGCAATAGCTTTGGCTGTCTTGCCCTTAACTGCTGTACTAATATGTTTCAAATGCATTCTTCTGGCATCAAATTCATGAGGCTTTCACACTAGCTTTTACTGATGGTCATTATTCAGAATGCCAAATGGAAATGGATCTGATTAAAAGATAGCGCTTGTCAAAAAAGGAGAAGCCATGTTAAGAATAACATGTATGGCTTCATCGATTGCTTACCAACACCAGCAGGGGTTGGTGAATGATGTAAAATGCATTCTATGTAAGCATCTGTAAACAGCTTGAGTTGCAAGGAACAGGTCTGGTGGTCAGGAAAGCCACGTTCTAATCCCAGCTCTGCCATTCACTTCCTGCGCGACTTTGTCAGAATTGCTGAGCTCTTTTCTGCCTTTTGGTTTACACACTACTCACCTCCCAGTAGAATTATAAAAATGACTTAAAATGTTGTTTTTAAAGGGTGCGTCTACCCGAGATGCCAGAAGTGCAGTAGACTAATTCTACTGTGCACTAACGCATCACAGCAAAAGTTGTGCTAATGCACAGTAGAATCAGTCTACTGTACGTTAATGTCACATAAAAAATATGCACTAACATTATTACGCAGTAGCACTGATTGTGGTGCATTAAATTTAGTATCTGTAATAGCAGGTACTAAATGCACCATAATTACAATGCATTAATGCATGTGTAGACATGCCCAAAAAGTGCTATACAACTGCTGTTGCCTGGTGAGACCTCTCCTGGCTAGAAAACTGTATCTGCTCTTAGACTGTGGAAAACAAGTTACAGGAGGTTGTGGAGCTCAATATGAGTAAGACTTCTCTGCAACTGTTGGTAGGTTTTTGGATCAGGAGCTGATTGAGTTCACCATTCATATAATTATGTTGTTTGGTTTTCATCCCTCCCATATATTCAGAGAAGGTATTGTGTGTCTGGTTGTTTCTCAGCTGGTGCAGGTTTTGTATGAGGTTTTTCCAGTGTTCTCTATGTACTGTAAAGTTAATGATCCATGAAGGAGGGGACAGGAGATAAAAGGTAGAAAGTTTACAGTTTGTATAATTTAGTAAAAACCTTATTGCCTACTTGAAACTCTAGATTATTAGAGACATCACTTAAGTTTCTTATGAACATGGTTATAAATTGAGCTTGTTTTGTGCTGTTCCTATTATATAGAAATAGACATAAAAATAATTCAATAAGCTGGAATATTCTGTAGTCACAGTGCATAGTGCCTTGCCATCTCCTTTTGTCCTCCAGCTGTGAATGTGTATATTGCTCACTTCTGAGGTTAAGAAAAAGAATGTCTTGTGTTTCCTACCTCACCTTCCAAAAATTAAAATAATCCTTTTGCCCTTTGTTGTCCTAAAAGTACTCCTTGCAATTTTTCCCTCTGTCATGGTTCTACTCCTTTTTTGCCGCACCCCCCCCCCCGACTTCCTTTCCCCTTCAGCCATAAAAAAATAAAAAATAAAAAATCTTGACTATCACTGCATTGGATTATCACTGTCAAACAATTTCTGCAGATCTTGCCTGATAGGAACACTTGCATGTCTAGGTCACTTGTGCTTTAAGGAACAGATGCTTCACTGGGTTTCATGTTGTGGGTAAATTTCCTAAGACTACAGATGTCGTTCTCAAATTGACTAAGAATAATAAATCTCTTTCCTCAGTGCAGGCTCTTACACTGATAGACTAGCCCTTTAGTTTGCTGAGCCATTGTACAGGCATAAATCTGGGCCACAGCTATATCTGAAATGAGGTATGCTAATTATTTATAACATCACATAGCAACGACTCCACATCTTCAACTAGTGTTTCATGAGCCAATCAGAGTGTTACTTTTATCCCTTATTAAGCCTTGGTGTCAGCTTGGGAGAAAATCATTTTAGAAGATTTAACACCATTTACCACATACTATTTAAAATATATTTTTCATAAACTTGCATATTGATATTGAAAAATGTTTGTAATAATGCATTTATGATTTTTGTGAGCTCTTAGTCTTTTTAAAGAGAGAATTTACCAATATACATATTGTAGTATTCCAACTTAGAAAGGTTACGAAATCCTGCATTATATTTATTGACCAGATTTTAAATCGTATACTAAATGTAAATCTTTGCAATCCAGGATAACAGATAAGAATTTAACCTCTATTCCTATCTTGACATTCACCCTCTAGTCAGTAGCTTTGAACCTTGCCTTAACCTAACTTATAGTTTGTGCTATTTTAAATAGCTTTTACAGATTGTTAATTTAGTTAACCTAATATGCTTAGTATATTGAAAATTTCTGTAATAGAAAACATGTGCCTGTTGTTAATATTCATTTGTAAAATGAAGAAATGATATTCTAAAATATTAAACTAAGATGAAATCCAGTTCAAAAAATGAAAGATTGTTGTATGGTGATTCTTGCATTTAATGTCAAATGTATACATCTCAATTAAAGGATCTGTCTTACATTAAAGTAGTTCAACTTAGGTGATTGTACTCTGAGAGCAACAAACAAGACATAATCTTCTGTCTGGAAGCTCAGTGGAGGGCACGGTAGACTCTCTTGAGATGCAGAAAATGTACATGTCTGACTCAGTGTCCAGACAGTTTCTGCCATTAAATTATTAAAGCACTACATAATCTTAAATAGCACCACTTGCTGTCATGCACTATTTTAAATGATAAATGTTCTGAACTGTTGTTCAGTTCAGTGTACTGGAAAAGTGGGGTAAGTGGGAAATGAGACTGGCCCACTTCAAGGATGGTTCCTGGAGGTGATGGGAGGATTTACATATGAATGTAACCTAACCATGGATGCATTAGCTGCATCTTTTAAGGGGAAGACAGAGCCATTGAACAGCCGAGATATCTGGTTTCTATTTTTAAATCTGCCAGTGATTTGCTATGATCTCTGGCAAGACCTAATGTCTTTCCCCAGTTCTGTAAAACAGGATCACCAAGCTCTTTGATATCTGTGACATGGCATTTACCTGTGTACCTATTCAAGGAAGCAGTGAATCAAATTGTTAAAATCTTGGGGCAAACCTGTAGATCTGTATTTTTTTGCATCATCAACCTACAGTCACCTGTAGGTGATTATGAAAATTCCTGCACTGTGGTTGGCTGACAGCTGTTATTATTTAGTCAAAGTAGAGAGACTTTCATAATCACTGTACTGTTATTTGCCAGTAATTATACAGTGAATATGTAAATCATTGTACTTGGACTACTGTACTCAGAATAACCAAGTGGTCTGATGCAACAAGAAGCCCCTTGGCCCCTCATTTGAAAAAGGCAGAGTGAATAAGGCTGTTTAGTGGTTAATGGGGATTTCATTTTTTAAAGAATGTTTTAGAAAGCCTTGACTCATTTTTCTCTTTCAGGCCCAGTCCTGTTCCCAGCGTAATCAATGGGAGTGTTGCCAAAGGTTTCCTTGGGAACAGGACCAGTCTATCTCATCTCTGCTTCACAGGTTTTTGTCACTGCATTTATCTTTTTCACCCTGGAAGGTGCCCAGATACTGCTGCGATGAGCACAGTGTGATGACCTAAATAAATGGATCCCATTTCCACCTCCTAGCTTTTTCCATACTGGAGTTTCTTGTGCTAACCCCTATGAAACGAGCCTTTTTCTTTTCTTTCTGGTTTTTATTTTTTTATTTACCCGAGTCTCACTTTGACCTTCCACTGGTGTGTGTGAAAATCACTAATGCAGGCAGAGGGCTGTCCTTATCCACACAACTTCTGTCATATATTTTGTGCTGACATTGACTGGGAGTATTCCAGTATGTTACAAACTCTCTGCTCATTTCAAGTTTGAAATGAAATACAAACAATAATGTATTACAGCTGTTATGGAGGGATGAACATAGTTGATCTGGAGAGAAGAAAATGAAGCAGCTAAAGGAAACAGATTGAGAGAGAAGAGGAAATAATAGGTATGGAAAGAAAGGGCCAGAAATGTATTAATTTTAAAAGAAGCAAAGAGATTTACCTTTTAGCAGTTTTGCAGCTAGTTACTCTTTGCATTTTTCTCTGATTACATTTACTATCTGAATATTAA